AGAAGCAACAATATGCTACTCTACCCCAGGCTTAATGTCTTATCTCTCATGGTAAATGAATAATGCAGGGTTGATAAAATATTTCTAAGCTTAAATTGATTGCTGCTGATAAAATACAGCATCTAGCTTCAAAAAATAATATTTTAAAAACAAAAGGTAATAATCCACTCCACACTAAAATTATTCCAGATCCAGCCAAGTGTGATACAGACCTCAAAGCAGCCAATCCTTTTCACAAATAAACAAAACCTGCAAACTTCTTCCTTTATTAAATATCAGCCAAATAAAATTATCAATGCATATTCAAAAGTCTGTGAAGTAAATACAAGTTTAAAAACTTTACAGAACTCTATAACTGGCCTCTTCCCAAAAAAAGACAGTCACTCGTTAAGCAAACAAATTAACAGCAAGATATTTCAGCCTGCAAATCTGTAGAACACACCTTGTGTATCTAGGACCTGGAATTAAAGTTCCTCATTACAGGCCTTGGGAGTTACATGAGCTGCATGGACAATAGAAAATCCTATTACAAAACTTCTATTGGCATACCAGCCTTGGACCTCCAGAAAGGATTGCTGATAGCAGATGAAGGAGACATAATGGTATAAATAACAGCCAGAAAAGATAGTCAGGACAAGTAGCAAAGGATGCCATGGGAGCATTGGTAGAGGTGAGCAAACTCGGTGGGGGGTGGGGGAGGAGGGGGTTTTTTTACAATATGTTGCCCTCCCGGCCCCATAAAGCCACCGGAGTTGAAGCTGGCAGCCTCTGCTGTCTTAGACCACAGCTGCTGGTAAGCACGCTTGGAGCGGGGCTGCGGAGGACAGCTAGGGCTGCCCCCCCATGCGGCCCAAACCAAATTTTCATCTTCTAATGTGGCCCAGGGAAGGTGAAAGGTTGGACACCCCTGTTCTACATCATTCTTCCCTGTGTTACTGAGCGTGGGCAGAGAGCAGAGGAAAACTAATTTCCTTGGGTGTCTCAGAACAAGAGACTCTGGAGATGAACAATAGGAAGGCCTTCTTCACAGACTTCTTAATGGGCCTGCCAGAATCTTCTGACATAGCCAGGAGACATCATGACACTAAACATAATTTCTCACTACAAATTAGGAATAGCTATTGCCATCATATTTACCGCAAAACTCTGTCTAACAGATGGAAATGATGACATACACAGCAAGGGGCACTGTTCTTACACAATAATACAACATGTGAAAAAGCAACCAACAGGAGTGCTTCTAAAGCAACTTACTGCACAGGTGGAAGGAACTGGACACAAGGTCCAAGCTGGTTCTTGGAGTAAGAATCTCTAGTTTACCTGTGGGGAATATCAGGCTTTGAGATTCCACTCAGGCCCTCTGATTTTCCTAGGTAGCCACAGGTAGAATCCCTTTCCATGACAGCATTATTTGGTGGCTTCCAAGTTTTATATAATTTGTAAATGGCTCCCCTAAGAATTAGTAAATGACAAGAGCAGCTTTAAACTAAAATATACTGGAAATTTTGGTTTCACACATTCACCCTGCCTAAAAACAGAATGGGGCTTTCAGAACTTCTGTGAAATGAAATTTGGTCCCTGGGCAGAGAGCAATTCCCTATCCCTGCTCTATAGAATCATAGACTCATGGAATAAAGGAGTAGGAAGGGGTCTGTAAGGCTTTTAAGTCCAATCCTGCTGCTCAATGCAAGAATCCAAATCAAAGCAGATCTGACAGATAGCTCTCTCATTTTATTTATTTTTATTTATTTTATTTATTATTGGATTTATATCCTGCCCTTCTACACAAAAGTCTACTCAGGGTGGCTCACAACATCAAACAAATAAGAACAGCAATTAAAAACTACAATAATAATATAATCAAGATGGGAGAATAAACAACAAAAGCAAGAAAATACAATCAAGAATTGGCAGGAGGGAAGGCCTGGCTAAAGAGCCAAGTTTTTTATTGACTACAGTGGGGTCTTGATATTTATTTATTTTTATTTATTATTGGATTTATATCCCGCCCTTCTAGACAGAAGTCTACTCAGGGCGGCTCACAACATCACACAAATGAAAAAAAAATTAAAAACTACAATAATAATATGAGCAAGATGGGAAAATAAACAACAAAAGCAAAAAAAATACAATCAAGAATTGGCGGGAGGGAAGGCCTGCCTATAGAGCTAAGTTTTTAATTGACCCTTAAAGACACCCAGCGAGGGTGCCAGGCAGATATCTGGCGGCAAGCTGTTCCAAAGTCGAGGGGCCACCGCCAAGAAAGCCGGATTTCTTGTTCTTTCTTTGATTTCTTGTTCTTTCTTTTCGGGCCTCTCTCGGCGTTAGGCCCCTCAGACGTCTTTCCTGGCTCTGGCGAGTGACTTGAGTAGATCTAGGTGGCAGAAGACCTTCTGCCAGGTATCGAGGTCCTAAACCGTTTAGGGCTTTATAAGTAATCATTAACACTTTGAAGTCAATGCGGAAACGAATGGACAGCCAATGCAAAGCAGCCAGAATGGGAGAGATATGCTGGAATTTTCTCGCTCCACTAAGTAATCTGGTTGGCGCATTCTGCACCATTTGAAGCTTCTGTATTAATCTCAAAGGTAGCCCCACATAGAGCGCATTACAGTGGTCTAATCTCAAGATTACAAGTGCATGGACCAGAGTGGTGAGGGTCCCACCATCAAGATAGGGGTGCAGCTGGGCAATCTGCCACAGATGGTAATTGGCGGAATGGACCACTGACACCACCTGGGTTTCCATGGTGAGCGCCAGGCCCAGGTGTACTCCCAAGCTGCAAACCTTGCTCCTCATGGCGAGTCATCCCCCCAAAAGTGAGGGAGTTTCCCAAGCTGCCAAATAGAGGGGCCACCCACCCTCAGGACCTCCGTCTTGTCCGGGTTCAGCCTCAGCTTTCAGTCTTTCCTCAAAGGACTTGGTTTCCAGTCACCTGATCATCTTTATTGCCTTCCTCTGAATTTGTTCCAGTTTTTCAGCATCCTTCTTAAAATGAGATGTCCAGCACTGAACAGAGTACTCAAGATTAGGTTAACCAATACCAAATAGAGGGGAACTACATGGGATTTGGAGACTGTACTTCTGTTAATGCAGCCTAAAATAACACTTGCCTTTTTTGCAGCTACATCCCACTGTTGGCTCAAATTCAGCATGTGATCAACAAAAATGCTAAAATCCTTCTCCCTCACAGTATTACTGAGCCAAGTATCTGCCATCTTGTAACTGTGTGTTTCGTGTTCCCTCCTGCCCAGGTGTGGAACTTTTCAGTTATCTCTCTTGAATTTCATTCTGTTGTTCTCAGCCCAGTGCTTGAGCCTATCAAGATCTTTCTGAATATTGTTTCTGGCTTCCAGGGTATTAGCTATTCCACCCAATTTTGTGTCATTCACAAACTTGATAAGTATTTCAGCACTCCCTCATCCAAATCATTAATAAAATTGTTGAAGAGCACTCGGCCCAGGACTGAGGGTACTTCATTTATTACTGCCTCCCAGTTTGAGAAGAAAGAACATTTGAGCAGAAATTACAACAGAGATAATAACTGGGAGCAGGGAGAGGTGTTCTGGCTAGCTGGAGGAATTGCCAGCAAAATACAAAATGCAAATAGATACCAACATTTGTTATTGTAAAATCTGGGACTTGTTCACATCTGGGGTCTGCAATGTCACAGTAGATCTGAGAATCTCAAAGGTTTGTCATCATGATGACTGTTTCAGGCAATACCTTTCATCAGCAATGATCATTAGACAGTGACTAAGAATATCTGTCAATGTCACCTTTAAAGGGTTACACATTTCATTCTAAAATTCTGCAGCAAAATCAGGAAGCCAGCCAAGATAAACATATAATATAAACAAGGAAGATATAATATAAATTATGGATTATTGTTAACTTGTTCCATCACAGGAAACTCTGAGAGGCATGACAGATTAATTTCATGACTTTTTTTATGATACCTTCCATCAGACAAATAGCTTTATTTAAAAAGATGGCTACCAACAGTTATAAACTGTTGTAGAAAGGAACCATCTATGAATTTATGTAAGGCTTTCTACACAGCTCTGAAGAGGGTGGAGGAATGCTAGGCAAGGCAGATCTTTAGTTAAGATCTCCTGATAATTATTATCTCCAAAAATGAAACAGACAAATTATATCCATTCTGAGGCGATGTTTGACACAGTGGCTGAAATCCTGTTGCTTAGTGAAGTAAGTCACAACTAGAGTAAATCAACTGAATCAGTGGGGATTAGGTAAGTCAGTTCCACCAGAAGTTCCACTTATTGAATGGGCTTACTTTAGTCCAACATACTATGCTAAGCAACAGGATTCCAGCCAGTAAATCATAAGATTCATAAGTAATTAAAATATATCAATTAAAGAAGACCTAATTTCTTCTTCCAAGACCAGACTGACTAATTCACTGTAAAACAGAGGGGGATGGAGCTGCATAGAAACATAGCTTCCTTTAATTATTTCTTGCTATCTGGGCTCTGATACACAAGGAAGAGGAAGTCCAATAGTCACAGCTCACAGTGTCATTCATTTTGCAGAATACAAAATAATGAGAAATTTAGTTATCTTGCAAATTGCTACATTGTACCTTGTTTCTCTCCCCTACACACCCACACATTTAACGCACCATCTAGAAGTTATATAAGGGAGAAATCTGAATACATCTTTTCTGTGCTTTCTCTATTTTCAAGTTTTCCATATCACAAAAGAACATAGCTTTTTCCTTCCCCACCACTGATTTCCATGCTCCTCCTATCTGGGGGATGCACCAAAACAAAGCAAGGGCTTTTCCCACTGATGACGCAAAATCCTTGAGAGAATCCTTTTCGATCTAGCCATCAAGCCCAGACAGACAACAACAATTTTTAAAAAATGAATCACATAATGAGGTCCATGATTTAGCTTTAAGCCTGAACTGTGCTAACTTCACAGCTGCAAAAAAAGATCATTAAGAAGAACACATTTTTTAAAAAGCAAGTATTTACCCGGCTTCACATCAGCTACTGTTTCCTGTTGAAAGCTGTTCAACTGCACCCACATGCAGACGGGAACCGCCGTGCCAGTGACGTCAGCATGGTCTCCTGGCAACGATTAAGGGGGCCGTCCACCATGGGGATTTCCTGAAAATCTAGCATGAAAATTACCCACCTCCTCTGTAATGTCAAGATGTGCGACACTGTGCTGGAATTCCTTTTAACCCTTTCTTGCAGAGCAAGAGTTCTCTATAGCCAGGGCCATTATTCCTGAAGGGTGGGAGGGGAAATTCTTGGGGCTATCAGCCACTTGCAAATATAGGACCAGCTGCTTATTTCCGGAATGAAAAAGAAAAATTATACCCAATCTTAAAAATAGCTCTTAACTCTTTCCTATTCAAAGGTCTGATAAAGTATCTGTACTATACAGAATGAAACAGGAACAAGGAAGAGCAAATCACATAGCATCTCTTTTATGAACTAAGTCAACACAAAGCTCCAAAATATAGCTGGTTTCATTAACCACTGCTACACAGTAAAAGGCAGGCTTCTTAGTGGGTCATATGAAAACCCAGCACTGAATGGCAAAGAAGTGGTACAGAATACCTCCAGATACTTGGGAAAACTAGTTAAGGGTGTTACTAACACACCCACATTCTCAATTCCCTTTCCCATCTTTTTGTTTTAAAAGGTTTTTGGATGTTTCAGAAGACAAGTGAAGGTGCTGTAGGTGAGTCATGTACCTGCAACTTCTTTTGAACAGTCACATCTAACACATACACCAATTAAGCATTCTCCAAAGTCTTACATCTGAAAGGAAATAAGCAAATCCTCCTCTGAACCAAGCTATCAACTGCACGCAGGAGTCCAGCCACCAGGAGTGGGGCTTGGAAAGAGAAGGAGGGAAGGATGGGCAACATCAGCAGAGCCCCCTCCACCATCTCCTTTCACTGCTGAATATTGGTTTCATAAGCCCAAGGACAAAACTGATGATAACACCCACTTCATGAAGCAATTACGAGTCAGCAGAGCCAAGAAAATACCCATGATAAAACAACCTAAAAGTGGCAGTTCTCAATTTTGTCTCCCCCCTCACCCAAGTCCATAAATCAGCACACTTTGGATTCTGAAAAGCATCTGCAGCATTTCTACCCCTCTGATCGAAAAACTAAACTAAACTAAAATCTTACCACACTTAAATAGACTGATTTCAGTCAGACAGTTTTCAAATTTAAACAACAATTCAAATCAGAAGGATAAGAGAGAGAAAAGCAGACTAAAATAAAATTCTGGCAGCCCCTCCTGTTTAGCACAATATAAAATACAAATCTTGACCATGAAGGCAGAGCAGACAGGCAGGAAAAACACAGAAAGCAAAAATTTAATCCAACTCTTTTGAATGGCACAGAGGCAGCAAGCTGGCCAAGTAGCTGCTCAAACACAACAGCCAATGCCCTTCCCTGGGGTCTAAATAACCCCTCCCCAGCTCTCACAGCACAAGGTTCATCAATGAGCAGATCGAAGGATGCTTAGTTTGCTATCTTCAAAACCAAGCAATAGTTAAAATGAATACAAAAGCTTGTCAGCAGAGTCCAGAGAGGAGAGCTGCTTAATGACACAAATCAGCTGAGTATGTTTATCCGGGGATTCCCTTCTTCCTTCTAGGTAGATGCAAAGTACATCAAAGGGGGAAAAAAACCCTGACAACATGGGAGCCTTAGAGAGAAGGCAGGAGAAGAAGGCAACATGGAACAGAAGACATGAAATGAAAGGCTCCTGTACCATTCTGAAAAAATCCATGGTGGGGGCTTATAAAAAGGAAGACTCCCTGTGGCTGGTGTGCAGCAACAACCAAACAGATGTACACTTAAATTACAGCATAAATCCTTAAAAAAATCAATAAAAGATTTCAACTGTTTTCTCCCTTCCCCTGCTGCATTCCAAAACCAGAGATTTCGCTCTAAAAATTAACTCACCCCAGTGGAAGCTGCACTGTAGGTCATCTATTTCCCCTTCTTAACATTGCAATGAAAGTTACCAGAGGAATTTCGACAGGAGACCTTGGTTCTTGGAATCCTCCATTGCTTTGCCTCCCGCCCCCACCACATGCTTTCCTATCCGTCCGTCCCCCCCACTCCACCCACCGCCTCAAAGGAATATTGCTCTCCCCTGCTCCTGCAACCTAATTACTTTGACAAGCCGCTCAGAAGGAAGCAGACCCCAGCTGTTTGAAGGGATGGCACAGGAGCTTTGCCAATGGCCACTTCCACACCCCCTCTCTCCCTCATTCACAGACTTGAGCAGAACTGCCTCCACAAAACTCAGGAGCAGCATTTAAAGACACAGCATCCTCTTTTCCTCTACCAAGCAGAGCAGTCAGGAGAAAGAACATGAATTGAATCAAAACGTCTTTGTCTAGAGACCTTGTCTTTCATTGAGAAAGTTAAACCATGGATGATAAGGTCTCACTTGCAGATTAGTCAGCTGCTTAATTTTGCTTCCTGTTCACATTTAAACAGTAGCAAGACAGCCTTCCACTTGAATTGTCTATTCACCCAAGGAAAAAGTGACCAAAAAAAACCCTAAGAGGCTAGCAATTTTCACATCCCCATGTGTTGCACAAATGATTAGTGTTGTGTTGCCCTCAAGGAAAAGCAAACAGAAAGTAAATCTTTTGTTTGGGCTGGATCCAGATACAGATAGCTACACTTAGTTCCTATCGATACAACAGGCTGGATCAAGCTCCAGTTAGGTGCACTTAAGTCTCCTCAGGAATCAATTCAAGTCAAGACTATCTTTTTAAATTGATTCCATTGGGACCTAATTGCCAATAACCTAATTTGGAATCTGCTTGATATATTTTTATTGTACCAAAGTAGCTTTATACAGGAATGGATTTCACACACCACTGTATCAAGAATATAAGTGATGGTCCTGCAAAACTCAAATGCTTGCAAACATTTAAGCCACTTTTTTCTGTGTGGCCTGAAGGCTTTCCCATTCTAGACAGGCAAATCTGTCAGTTTCAGTTTTGCCTGTGTTCTAAATATGCAAATTCATTTAAACTGAAAACAAAAGGAAATCAAATTCCTGCTAGTCCATGGAAAGGACTGGCAAATCTATCCATGTTTCTGATTTCAGCCCATATGCTTCATGAACAAAGTCAAAACACACTGTAATCACTGGACCACTAGCACAGAATCAGTCATCTCATTATCCTGAAGGTGACTTCTCTTAACACCACATTTCCCATACACAGAATAGATTCCTATGCACAGTTTACACAGTACTTTGTCCATCATATTACATGAATTCTGTGCTCAAAGCCAGCAGTATTTTATTAAAAGAAAATTGGCTTACACTCAGCTGTAAATGAAAGACAGCTAAAGTTCAGCATTAAATGGAATGTTTTTACATGAATAAAGCCAAACACTGGTAAGCAAGCAAGCAAATC